CTATGGGTCTATCTCGTTTCATTCTGCCTGTTACAAACAAATGCACAAAGACATAATACCCTGACCACCTTGTGGTGTAGGGTATAAAAATATAAAGATGTGTAAAGTTTGAACTAAGTTGTGAATTCCGATTATGATTTCTAGGAGAGGTACGAAAGTGAGTGAACCGAAACGTCCCATTTTTAAGTAGGATTTCAAATTGGATAACATTTTGAGATGTGTGAAATTTGAAGAAAATCGCGTTTTATGATGGTCATGAATGAGTAGACCGCTCGTTTTATAAGAGTTATGATAATTAAAATTTTTTGTAAGTAGCGGGCATGGTAGAAAAAAATAGGTAGACGCATCGACACAGCTGCTGGGAACTGTCAAACCAATTTTGAAATTGAAAATGTTGAGTGAAAAATTATTTAAATTTGTAAAAATTGTTGAAAAACGCGAATTATAATAACCTCCGAATTACGTCGTATAAGAAAACATATAAAAATCTACTTATATTTGAAAAGACATTTAAATTTTTTTGACATATCAATGCTTCAATGCTTGGAAGCATTGATATGTCAAAAAAATTGCCCATCTTCGAACTTGATCTATGTTTAATAAAAATATTACTTTTTCCAAGTTTGGACCACTTCGAATACTCCCATTGAGAGTAATGGTGCGTTCCAACCAGCAAGCCAAATGAACGAATGAAAACGTGGAAACGGAAACAGATTTCCGCCAAACACAAGACAAAGACAAGAGCATGTTTTTATATAACGTATTTGCTTATAGCTCATTTTCTAGTTCGATCATGATAGAATAAAGAAGGTAATGTCATGCAAGCATAGGTTTACAATTTTTTTTTAATATTCATTTGACAACATCTCATTGTCAACATTTGTATTTATATTTTTTTATTAATTCAAAATGTTAGAAGTTGTGAATGACTCGTAATAGACCTATTTGGTACATTGTCATGTATTCCCGTGTTATATGTCACCGTTATTATGATTTCGATCGTGATTTTAAGTAACTTGAGAGCGAGATGATGCATGTTTTTATTGCAAATTAAATTTAATTAGTATTACTCAATTCAGAATATGCAGCAATGTAAAGTAATGTTTTAGCCTTCTGTCTATTTGTAGTTGTCAAATTTTGAATACTTAAGTATTTGCGAATCTGTATGTATTTTCTTTGCGTTAATAAATGTGGGCCATGGAATAAACCATGTAAATAAAATATTTGATATCTTCCTATTTGGGTAGAATCATCATAGATCAATGAAAATATACATTTAATTTAATATACAAATTAAGGTTTTGACGCGTACCGTCTGTTTTAATCTACCTGTTTTCAGGGTTTCTTTTTACATGTTTGTGCATTGTTGATAATGCTGTTCACTATCTGGTTGAATCGGCGTTGCCGACATTTAGAAAATTAAAAACGGTATGTTTCACATGCAGATGTCACTAGGCGACAATCAAATTGTCGGTATTGTTCCTTGGTGAATTTAAAAACACTGTTCCCACACTAGGACTTCATTTATATATTATCTGTAAGGACAGTTGAACAAAATAAGCCAATATGACCAAAGCCTGGTAGAACTAAAAACTTTACATTTTTTAATTTTTACCTTTGACATCTTATTGTCATAAATCCATAGTATATACGCAAATTCGGAGATGGGAACTGTTTTCTAAGCAGTGAATTTCGAAAAGGTTATTTACAGAAAATGCAGAGCTGGTAATGCTTATTTGATATGAGGTTATCTTTATTTAATTATACCATGGAGCAAAGGTAAAATGTATTAATATTCTATTTGTTCTTCAGGTTTCTGTAGTATTTTTAATTTAATTATTTGTGTCTTATAAAAAACACGTAAAATTTGTCAACATCGTTACCTATCGATAACGGTAAAAATTGAATCGGTGATTACAATTTTTTTCTAAGTGTGCCCGACTTCTGCCTAAATTGTATGTGTTTTTCAAAATCAATGATTTGAAGAAACTTAAATTGTAGGGCGCGTTAACAATATTAACCAGATTTGCCATAAAATTGACAGATGGAACACTTAGGATCATATTTTTGAGAGAACATCCAGTCATTTCATTTCATTAAAATAAATGTAAGCTACTTGTTGCCTATAATATTGAATAATTCTGACAGGAAGGGGGCATAGCCTCAGGGCTGTAATTCTGTAGTGGTACCTTCTTATTGTACCGTGGGTCTTAAGATGCAAGTACATAAAAAGCTTGAAGTCATGGCTAAGTGTATTAATGTCAAATTATAATGGAAAACGACGGCAAGATTTTAGTGAGGATATGTTATCCCTTCACAAAATATGCCTAGCCATGACTTCAAGCTTCTTGTGTACTTGCACCTTTAGTGTATTCTTTAATTACGTCGCAAACGACAAATTTCTTTAGTTGCGAAAATATAATCAATTGAAAAAATGTTTGTTATTTTGAAAATCGCACTACAGAACACATTTTAATTGTGATGGGACCATCAGCTTATGCATTTTAAATCGTAAAAATGTACATTTATAGATTCATTGTATGTGCACAAACAGATATGCTTTCTAATCAGGTAAAGATAAGATAAATAACAGAACATAGTAAAACCATGGTACAATAAAGAGAAGGTAGGCCAACTTTGAAAAAATTGCAAGTATAGAGGTCTACCTGTTTGGCTTGTAATGTCAGAATTAGTATAAAAACAATAACAAATCAAATAACTTGTTGCATTTATTTTGAATAAATAATTTAAAACCGCGAAAACTGAATGAAAGTTCAAAATTTCTTTTCAAAATCATGTTCTATATATCTCTTATGGTTTATTTCGCGACAAAAACTGTAGACTTTGTCGATGCATACGTTGCAATAAGCATTTTGAAAACACTCGAATTTGAATATTTTCTGAACAATTTTTTTATTATTGAAAAGAATACGCACACATAAACAAATGAAGTTGACATATTAAGCCAGAAAAATAAAAAAATTGAAATCATATGGTAGTTCTGCCCTACTTTGAATTCATTGTCCATGAGTAGAACTAAGAAGGTAAAGTCGTGTAATCATATGTTTACAATTTTTTTCAAATTTACACATTTGACAACATCCTATTATAAAGATCTATATTCATAAATCCATTGTATACACACAAAATCAGAGATGAGAAGTGTTTTTTATGCATTGAAATTTGACAAAGTAAATTACAGAAAATGCAGAGCTGGGATAGCTAATTTCAAATGAGGTTACCTTTATTTCACTGTACCATGTTACAGAAAATAAAGAGATGGAAATGCATATTTGAAATTACTTTAGCTTCTTATTTTATTTTTTCTATTTTTCAATTAAAAACTAATTGTCAACTTGATATTTTATGTTCTATAAACACAATGTTGTTCTTGTAAAACGCTAAGTAGGATATTAATATTTGAAGGCAGGTTACCTTAAATTGTACCATGTTGTCTTTATTGCTCTGTTTCAGAACTAGAAACTGGTAGATTCTTGTAGGTTCGGGAATACAGCATGTAAAACAAAATAAATTTGACATTAACAACAATTTCCTCCGTTTATTTCAATGAATATTAATTATGATTTGTTCCAAATTTTACAAGAACATCCCAAAAACGCCGTTCTCAGCAGTTGGGCATGGCTCGGTCCACTTTACAACGGATTATTCGCATTGATTTGCATTTGTTCCCGTACAAAATTCAATTGACGCAAAGAATGTTGCCTGCGGACAAGCCTCGTCGATTGGAATGGACCCTGCATGAACGGCCCAATCTTTCCCCTTTATTTTTTAACGTAAAGTTTACTGAATTCATGTTGCCATATTTTATATTGATAATATGACAACAACAACAAAATTTATTTAAATAAAAAAAATGGATGCCACTAATCGTTTATTTTATATTGACGAAATGATTTATACGTATATTTCTTGAACTTAATTACGAATTAGTTTGATTTATTGTTTATAAACTAAAATGAAGATGTCATTGTAAAAAAATGCAGTAACCAACAGTTTCTTTTACATAAAGCTTACCATATTTCTGTAAAAAATTAATTTATTTTAACGGAAACATGTAATAATGGACACCCGATAATGTGAATTTTATCCTTTAATATTCCTAAAGTAGGGGAAAACAAAGCTGGACTGTAAAAAAAAATATAAAAAAGGGGCCCTACCCCAGTTTTGCTCTTTTTCAAAATATGCAATAATCAAGTAAATTTGCAATTCTTTCGATATCATAGAGGAAAAATTGGTTATAATAGCAACATTTATTTTGCCTTAGCTATTTTCCAGAACTACGGAATGTAAAACTTTTTACTGCGATAGCCGATTTCCCCTTTATGATATCGAAGAAAATTTCAAAACTAGTAGAGTCCAGTGTGTTTTGCAGAACTGCAAGAATGTAAAATATTTTAATACGACAACTGATTTTACCTTTATGATATTGAAAAAATGTAAATTTAGTAGGTTTTTGCAGGTTCAGGAATAAAGACACAAATGTCAAAATATTGCAAAATTTGTAGACTCTTGGAGCATACAGTTGCTCTTTTTCGGAACTTGCAAAGATCTACTATTTTGGAATACATTTGTTTTGTTGCAGAACTTGGAAGGATACTTTTCGCTTTATGATATCGGAAAATGCAACTTCAGTAGTGCGAGTTGAGTTACCGACAAAATCAGTAACTTTGAATCATAAAATTTGGATATAAAAATGAGTTAAGGTTAACAACATTGGTATCTATCGGTAGATCTTAGCGATTACTTTGATTTCGTCGGTACTGAAATTATAAGCACTTTAATTTTATAGGTTTTGTCGGTAAATCAAACAAAATGAGTTAGAGAATCATACTACAGGTAAAGAACAAATGTCCCTACTGTAACCGATTGGTTCTTTAATCGTTTCCTTCTCTTTCAAAACAATAATCGATATGTTGACAATCGATTTGTAGACCCCTAAACCTGATGTTCAGGGTGTATAGCGTTGCCGCCGTTGAATATTAACAACATCGACTGGGTGTTTCGGTATTGCAAATTGAAAGTTATAAATATATTAAAAAATCCGAAAAAGAGACTCATCGAAGTACGTTTTCTCCATAATGAAAGATTAATATGAATATTTTTAAGTTACTAAATGCAAATGTCAGCATCTCAAGAATCGTAAATGTGTATAATTTACAATGTGTTGATGACAAGTTACATGTATTTCGTTCGAATTAAGTGAAGCATAAAACATGGTTTTCATTGCATTAAATGTGTTTTAAAATAGTAAATAATCCCATTATTTTGTTGTTATGACAATTCGACTCCAGTAATTGTTAAAAAACCGAAAAATATTACATTCGGAAGCTGTCAATTTGTGCAAAAACCCTCCAGTCGTTGTACCCTTCCTCCCGTAAAGCAGTCATTTTCGTTGGTTAATTTGCTTTGTTTGTTCTTTCGCCTTTGCAATTTTCGTCGTTCAGTTCAATTTGTTGTTGTGCCTTGGTCGAAAAAGAAGAAGAGTTGGAGTCTTTTTTGTCTTTCGAACCCAGTAGTGGCTTCTCGTATAGCAAGAAGTTTTGTGAAGGAATAAATTTGCAATAGACAAAATCTAGAGTTGACAGTGAAGGCGAGTGAAAAGTGCAAAGAAGAATTGTGGATAAAAGAAACTAAATTAAAAAGAAGCTCAAGGTGGTTAAACAAATACCAATGTTTTTATGACGCATGTGAGTACCACAACATGCCACAACAACAAAAGCGGCAACAGAAGCAGCAGCATACCGTCCAACAACAACAATTACAATTGCCATTCAATAACAAAAGCAATACGAAATCTCCCCAAAATCTGCAAGTACCCAACAAATTAGGCTCCGGGGCCGTTTCGGTTTTATAGTGACTCCCTTTGTTTGCTTAGTATATTCGCATTTGTTTTCCGTTCGATTTGTTTGTGTCCTGGTGATTTTGGAACGCGTCTACATAAACTTTTCCCTTGCTACCGCTGGCGAAAAGCGGTTGTTGGCGTGAGTTTCTATGGCAACGTTCGCAGACTACGATGCTCATGGAGAGGAAGGTGGAGATGACAACTCAAGTGTTACCATATGCCCAGATGTCGATGGGGATGCCGTCGTTGAGAGCCACAGCAGCCTCCGTCATGTTAGTCACAATGGAATACAAACGAACGCCTCCACCACCATTGCAATCATCAAAAACAGTTCTGAGACAACACAGAAATTGGTTTGTAAATCAAAAACTTCGCCTCCTCCTCATCATAACGGTTCTGAAGCTGCAAAGCAACATCATAATAGCAACAATGAAGACCCAGACTTAGATGATGTAGATGGTGCAACGGCTCTTGGTGAGGATATGGGGGAGGAGGCCAGGGAAAGTGGAGAAGAAATCAGAAGGTGCGGCTCGACTAGATGTGATGTGAATAATGTGGGCTTAAATGCATCTGCCACAAACTTGGATTTTTCGGAGACGGCACTCCACCAACAACAATTGCCAGAGCATCGACAACCGGAAGCATTGCCAAACAACATCTCCGACACTACCATCACCAACACCACTACCACATCCATATCCACTGCTATTGGAACGTCACCCTCGAATGCCAAGAATTTGTTATTGTGTCGCCGATTTAAGGATTCGGGTGATACGTTGCGCAACTTTACCTCATTGCCACTATTCATTTATGCCACTTCACCATCAACACATGCCACCTCAGCCGATGGTGTAGGTGTTGCCCAAGTGGCCGTTAAAGCAGCCGAAGAAGCCGCTGCAGCTGCAAATAAGAAAAAGGTAGGATTTGTTAAAGTTGTTGCAAGCTTATTGAATGAAAATCATCCATCGCAGAAAATTAATGAACTGCATTCATATCCTGAAGAGATTTAATTAAAAATATTTCATAAATATTGTTTGTTGAAAGGCGTATGTATTTGTTTTTTTCTCAAGAGGAAAAAAGCGGCAATTTTGATGTGGGTGCAGTTGGGTTTTTTATTGCTTATTACTTGAGATCCCAAGGGGATAAAGAGGAAACTTAAAATTTGAGAAAATAAATTGGCATTTCTAATCCAGCTAGTAGTAAGCATTCAGATATGGTTCACTTTGATGTGGAAAGTAAAAATATGAAAAGCTGAGGAATAATAAACTTAGACGTCCGTAGAATCCTATGGAATATGGAGATTCTAAATAGCAAATTGACTTTTGGAGATTTTTTACTTCATTATAGCTGAATTTTAATCAAAACGTGGGAAATGTTAACCTGAGATAAAAATAAAACTAAAATATTGTGAGACCTCTATAACGATTTCAAAAGCCTGAGTTTTTTTTTTTTTGAGGACCGAGGAGTTACTGCCGGTCTTATAGTTTCTAGAAGCCATCTTTAAAATCTACATAAACTCGCAGATTTAAATATCTCTATATCCGGGATAGGAATATGTTATCATTGTAAATAACAAATGGAAATAGCAACCGTTCTGTACTTCATTCCTTAGTGAATCTTGGTGGCAAAAATTTCCGAAAGTCGCAGAACAATGCACTCCAATTTGCAACCGTTTTTATCCAAATGACCAAGACGTTATTTCTTCAAATGACCACAGATAGTCGATACCGACGCTATGAAAATAATGCATTAACGGACGGTTTTCGAAGCCTTTTATGGCTAAATCAACACGTTTTATCCTAACTTCGGTCGGGATACCGTAAGTTTCTCACATTTTGTAATACAAGGGGTTGAATCGAAATAAAATTGAGAAGACATCCAAAATGTCGTATGGGTTCTGCAACCTATAGCTGAATTATGAAAAGTTTCAGTCTCTAAGAGACCTGATCGTAAGGTAAACTTCTTATTATTGCAAATTTTCAATATCGGTATTTCACTCGATTTTTCCCTCATAAAAATGTGCTATTTTTTAAGGCCCTCTCACGTAAATTTCGCGATACGACTGGCATTTGTTTTTATGAAATATAAACTGCGCTTTATAATCTACATTTTTTGACTTCGTAAGTAAAGCAAAAAGAAATCCGTTCCTAATTAATTTGTTTCTTTAATTTACACCTTGAATTAATAAAATTTTAAAAATTACGTTCCAGTGCATAAACACTTTGTTTAGCAACCTTCCTCCCACAGGTGCACACGTTGAAAAGACCAACAGAACCCAGCATTAGAAATTCATACATATTCTATGAAAACAACTACGAAAAAGATAATTGATAGATTCGAAATAGTGCGCGCAAAGTGTACGACGGATCATAAATAAGCATACACAACATGTGCCACACTGCTACACTTCCTCCTTCATCCATAATCGTGCTCATTTCAGATTATTAATATGCCATTTCATACATATTTTGAACCCCCTTTTTTGTTTTCAGTCTTCATTTTCGTTTCTGCCTGCTATACATTCATCTATCCATCCATCCGCCTATCTTTTGATACGCCAGTTAAGTTTTTGGAATATTCCGTTGCATTTCATAGACGAGGAGGTTCATCCATCCACTCATTCACTCACTCGCTCACTTGCTACCTACCCCACTCAGTGAGACAGACGGCTGATGATGACGATGATGGTTGCCGCTTTTATTCATACATAAATGTTCGGCTTCGTTGCTCACCTGTCTCATGTTGGCAGTTGCATTATTATTAGTTTGTTGTTTTTTTTTTCGTTTTTGCTTTTGTCGGGACACAGGCGGGCACATGTGCTCTTTACTGTTTGTGCTTCTGTTTGCCTAAAAGTGTTTTCCAGTAGACCATTCCTCCCCCTCGGATATTTGGTGTAGTTACTACTATTTTAATTTTTTAGTTTAGCTGTTTCTTGTGGTGGGGAACATTTTTTATTTCGTTTTTGGAAGCTTTTATAATGAACGTTAAACTCGACAACAACAAAAGAAATTAATAAATAAAAACCTCCCTACCTACCAATGTTTGGTAACTAGTGATGGAAAATTACATTAATTTTCTAGTATGTAGCCTGAGGGTTAGAAATGTCCATTTTTTGGTAGAAATATATTGTTTGATTCAATTACGATATATTTTTTTATAATATCAGACTTCCCGTAGCCAGGACTTCCTATAATTATGCCAATCTACGGAAAGATTCTTCGTTTCGGGTAATGGTAAAGATCACCTTGTTGCACTTCACAAAACGGCTCTCAGACATGTCTGAATACTTCTTCATTGCAAATTATAATGACACCACACAAGGTCTATTGGTCTACAGTCTCCAATAGCTGCCGAATAGTGACTTGAGGACCATGTTACATTTGAGGCAGATATCGTGGATGAATTGAACGCGCTGTAAAGATGATACATAGAATATTGGAAAATAAGAATTCAGTGTCGATATACAGGTTAATTTGTTTCGGATATAGCATGCCATTCTAGAATGCTTGGGTCAACAAACATAATACAGCAAGTTTTTGGGTCATCGTCTGGGGTGGGTAATATTGAAGTTATAGTATTCGGTTACCAGAACATACCTCTAAATGATGTTAGGTCCTCATTCAATCTGCTTTTTATGACCTTTTATATACCTTGAGTGATAATTTGTCATTCCGTTTGTAACTCATCGAAATAATCATTTTAGACCCAACAAAGTATATATTCTTGATCAGCATAAAATTCTGAGTTATATCGGTCAACGTCTTCATATAGACCCCATATAATTGTACATCCCGATATTTAGTATTACGTACTGTGGCAGAACATTGTCTATATATGTCAACCTTATAGCCTTTTCAAGTCGTTAGCGCTTACCACAGCTATCTGCGTAAGATTAGAAGTACGAACAAGATTCTCAAGTCTCTGGCCGGCAGCACGTAAGGAAATACTTTCATGATCTAGAGAGAGAGGTACAAAAGTATAAGAGAGAGCCTCTAGATCAATAGGCCTATCAAGCAGGCCACTCTAACACGGTTTTAGAAGTTATGGAAGGATGAATACTGTACTAGGAGACCATCCACTTCCCATCGCAGCTGAAGAGCGAGAGCTGCCCCGACAAACCCTAGAAGTGTTTGGCTCAATTAAGATCCGGATGGTGTAGCCGCCTCAATTCCTATTGGGCCCGTATCGACAGCGATCTGCAGAACATCTGCCCCAGCTTTTGGCTCAGGACCACTTGACACGCTGCACCTATTTTGCTGTCCAGCCAAACCTACTCACGTAACTCCAGTCTTGTTGTGTCATCCTTTTTGAGACTGTACATAGAGGCAGAACCCGATTGAGAAGCAGCAGTATAAGCTGCTACAACAACTCCTTGGTATTAACATATTTTTATATGATTTATTTTCCAACTGATGGAGGGTATAGAAAGTTCGTGCCGGCCGAACTAAAGTGCTTTTGCTTGTTTGGATTTATTTTCGTAAGCCCTAGCGTTTAATAATAGCCTAGGTTTTTTTTTTTTTTTGGACTGTCAAGCGAGCTCTCCTATCTTGTAGAGAGCATTGGCGATCCTCAGGATACAAAAAGCCAGGTTGTACAGCCTAGGTTTTGAAATTTCAAATATTTTGGTTTCTTTGAGTCAGAATTTTACCGATTACCAGTTATTCTATCGTATTCGGTTTACTTTATCGTTTATTTCCATTTCGTATAAATCTGTATTGTAGTGGTTATTGCAACTTTTTTGTTTAAATTGTCCATGAGTGTTGGGTAGAGCGGGTGAAGGGGGAGACTAAATATGCGCCTGTGTGTATAGACTTATGGCCACACCATGAACAACAAATGCATGGAGGGGGTGTAGACCGGCTTTTCTTTACATTGTGTGCTCATTTCTGTTGTTATTGTTCTGGTTCGATGATCACAGGCACAGTTAGTGGCAGTGAGTGAGTGCAGCAATGTTAGTGGTAATAACAAAAGTACGATCACCCGATGTTGTTGTTATTTTTGTAGCTAGCAAAGTCTATTTCTTCGGTTGTTTTACAAGCCAATAATTCCATTCATGTTTATGTTGCGCTCTTGTTATTGTCATTATTTGTTATTGTTGTTTGATTAAAACATAAAAATGTATGTACGCGGTAGTTGTTTAGCGATTAGGTTGAAAGATGACAAAAGAAGATACGATGTTTTGCTACTTTGCAACAACATATTTTCATCATCGTCGTCGGCATTGATTTGACAAAATGCAAATGGGCGTAGATTTCAAAAAAGTCACTGCTCCCTGGTAGCTAACTATTTTAGCCAATTTAATGGTTTTTTGGGTTTAGTTTTTTTTTCTTTCTGGAAATTGTCCCTACATTCTCTGGGGTGTGTTCTTTTGTGTTTGTGTTCTTGTGGTGTGTATTTATGCCCGCCTTCCCCCTTTTTGTGTGGGTTACATCAACCATAACCAAACAACTTGCTATGTCCATCATAACTGTTCTAGTATTGTTGTTTGCCCAATTAAAAACAGGTGGTTGATATACCCTGCCATTGCACACGAAAACATGAAACTGTAGAAGACAGAATATGGTATAATAATGGTGGCTTTGTCCGCACAAACCACATCCATTGTATTGGGGGTTTTTGATATAAAGTACAAACTCTATCCCTAATTTATTTGGGCATTATGCTTGGTCTGATAAATATATTTGGGGAATGATAACAATGGATCAGAACAATCTTTTGCAACGACTGTTGGCGTTTAACAAAGACCTGCAACCGGAAGACAATTAATGATTTTTGTCATTAACCAGGAATGTTTAATACAACCCCAATTTTGTTTAATAATTAACGTTTTGTTATTGGAAGGTCACACTGGTTTAGAATATATCAATAGTTTGGAAATATACAGGGTGAGATAAAAAAACTGCATCAAAGTCAAAAG